TATATATATATATACTGTATATGTGTGTGTGTATATATACTGTATATGTGTATATATACTGTATATGTGTGTGTGTGTATATATATATATAGCTTTAAGAATTTATGTGCATATAAGAGCAAATTAAATATGTTTTTGTTTTAACTGCCTATAGTTCTCTTGCTATAAGACATATAGCAAATCAATAATTAGACAGACTAACACATTTTCAACAGAAGTGTTAGTCTCCTAATTAATATTATGATGTAAAAATGCCATGCTGAACAATGCTCTGCAACTTCCAGGAAAAATGGTGTTGAAAAGTCCAACTTCATGCAGCCTGTAAACAGCTAATAAATTGTTCTCTGAAAATAGTCACCCGTTAAAAAAAAAAGTTGCCTAGATAGCTGATTTCACAGCAATTGATATCTCACTAATGGTACAATTTAACCACTTCTGGGCCGCAATACGTCTATAGACAGCGGCCCACAGAAGTGGTTAAAACAAGAACATGGCTGCTGCAGCAGCAGCCGTGTTCTTGGTGTCGTTTTTAACAGCAGGCGATTGCTGTTAGTGTACAAGCGATCTGGCATCTGTACAGATAGTTTGTACCTTGCGGCGCCCTCCCCCCACCGCAGTTGCCGTTGACTTCTCCGGGCACCGCTGTCCCCATGCGGTGCCCGGGAGTGGCTCGGCGGGTCTCCCCGCAGTGATCGAAGAGAGATTCAGCGGCTTCCAGCCGCTGATATCTCCTTCAATCACTAGACCCGGAAGTGATGTGTATTACATCACTTTAGGTGTCACTCGTTACAGTCTCCGGCTCTTAGAGTTTCCTATGCTTCTTTGGGGTCCCTAGGCGACATTAGGGGTCTGAAAGACCCCTGATGTCTCCATAAAGAGGACCTGCTACGCCCCATTGCCTTGCAGAGCAAATTAACAGGTTCACTTTAATTCCTGTCCTACCAACTGTGCATATTTAGTCACTTTGTATAGAGAGGAAGCCATGTGTAAGCTTTAAGTTGCAGTGTGGAGCATACACAGGACTCTCATCTGCCCCACAGTGCTGGGTGACTCAGCAGGCAATCACTAAGCATCAGTGCTGTCACATGGGTGTAAGGGGTGTTAGTCACTCATGGGCACTTTTCTTTGCCTGGTGTGGAAGTTAAAGTGATAGTGAGTATGTGGCAAGGCAGTAGACCTGATTCTTTAAATTAAACCTATTTCCACTTTAACACTAGTAAAACTTTGAGGTGTCTGCAAGTACTCTCATATACAAAGTGTTCCAGGGGGAGGGGGGGGTTGAAACCCCTGAAAGCGCATGACCCCAAAGACTACTTCTAAGAGTCTGCAGCCCATTTTACTAGTAAACTGACAAGGAAAATTTGTGGTGCTTGAAGTTATAGAATACATGTTACATTGTGGTTGCAAGTAGTGATTGAAGACCAGTTTTTCTTAAAAGCAAAATCTAGACTGTATCACCAGTGCTCTCACCTGCTTTATATAGTGTTTAAAAATTCATTGTAACTTGATTTACTACACAAGCCAAAGTAAAAATACAGTTATGTGCCGGCACTAAAACATATATCAAAATAGAAATAGAGCTATAAGTCCTAAATGGTTATAAAATAACTATTTGAACTCTGCTTCATTAAAAACCAAAGTGACAACAGATTTATTTTTAATAAGAATGGCACAGTAGTAGAGATATATAACAGTAGTATGGCAATAAAGATATTAATAACAATAATAATAATATCATTATTATTAATAATACAAATTGTTGTTAACCATGTAACCGAGGAAAACAGAAACATTTTCCTCCCATTATCCAAAAGCACTGCCATAATTAGACTTTGATCTGATATGTGACACATCTTCTGCATGGTGACACTATTTCCATCTCACCTTCTTGAGCAGCTCTTGCAATCTGTACAACATCTGTGACATTAGGGGTCAGCTTGGCAAAGAAAGGAATTCTGACAGCTTGTCTAACCCAGCGGCAGATGTTACGCACCAGTTCTGGATCCTGTTCAAATAGGTCAGATATAAAAAAAGGAAAAATTGGTAATTTGTCTAATCTAATGAAAACATGGAGCAATGAAGGGAAAAAAATCCATTAACAGAGCTATTCTTGTAACGCAGTGAAATCAATAATTGAACTGAACTCATTGTAACAAGCAGCGCAAAGGTATTGTAGTGCTGTAATGTAATATAGTTCTTAAGAAATAACTAAATGAATACAAAAGTAATTAACACAGGGGGAGTAAATAAGACAACTCAGCACCGCAAAATGTAACATTTAACATTAAAAATGTGTTAATAAAATTTTCAAGTAATGTAACTCATGTCTATGGCACAGAATTTGGAATTAGTCGAAAATAAAGTATAGTGCAGCATTGCACATTTTTAAACAGTACCGCTCAATCATTTTATCAGTGGCTTGGATGCAATAAACTAAAATGTGACTGGTTGTTAAAAGATATTGCAGATGACAATTAACTAATGTTCTTTGGAATATCTAATTAAATAAGTCTAGATTTGCACAAAGTTAAAAATATACTCATATTTGAGAGCTTTAAAAGACTACATCTTTAAATATTTTTGGGGTGCTGTTCTGAAAATCAGCACCTAAAATGTGTGATATTTTTTACTACATAAAGTAGAAATCTTACTGGGTTTGCTTGTGCTTCCCTCACAGATATAGAACTATAATGACCTGGTTTAATATCAACGGCCCGGAGATATCTGGTATTGCATATTTACTACAATTTACATACTTTATTGGAACCACCACAATTTTACTGTTCAGCCTTATGTTTAAAGGGTAACTATTGGGAGAGTTACATATACTTTTCCTCATACTATGAGTGGTTGTGTGACACTGCAACTGTCACACGTTGACTCTATAGATCGAGAGCTGAGCGATCACAAACCACTGACCACTCACTGCTCCCCGCAGGGATTCCCCCCCTCTCTCTGTTCCTCCAGAGCTCGTTAGAGGGACATACAGGGGAGGGGGCAGGCACAGCTGGCTCTGCCCGTAGGGAGGCAGAGCCAGCCATCAATCAGGCAGTGGAGTGGATCCCAACAATATTGTCAGCATCAGTCCTGACTGCAGTGCGGCTCTGCACTGTCAGCATATAGCAGGCTATGTGCCCGGTATTTGCTGACTTTGGGTCATGGGAATACATTAACAAAGGGCACTTATGATAGCAGACAAATAACACAAAAGGTCCTACTTAATAGAGCTGTGCAAATAACAAAGCAATGTAACCCATAACCACTACATTTCCATTTACAAAATAATTATTTTAGATGCTACAGCTTCTACCAGAAACAAAACACATAGGTTCATGAACTGCTAATAAGATTAAGATGCTGTATTAGCAGTGAAACAATTTTCTCATAATGTAGAGATCTAGTATAATAACTTATCATAAGTCAGTGACATAGCAACATAGAGATCAGGGGTGGTAACCTCAGCCAGGTCCATTGTCTCTGGGGATCCAACTCTAATGAATGTTTGTTTCTTCCTTTGTTGCTGCATCATAAGAAACAGCAGCAATGTGAATGTGTTAAGAGAAACAGGTGTCAAGAATTGTGTGGAAATGTTAGAGGGTTCAGTTTGATAATGTGGTCCAGAGGCGTTCATACAATGCAGATTATCACGACCTTCATAAGAAAATATATGTTTGCCTTTATTCAGAACTGCAACATATTTTGTATACTCTGATAGCCTCTATCATCTTTGCAAACCTTGTTTATTGTCATCTATAACATATTCATACGTAACCTGTCAGTTTCAGAACAGATTTGATTTCAATATAGCAAAACTTTCGGGTAATGACCTATTCCTGGCAAAAACCCACCAACATTTTCTCTAAGACAGACCCTCATCGGTGCAGAAATAGTGGATGAGATTTGGGAAATGCTGTTACTATTCCTCATAATCAGCTCGGAACACAGACATGCTGTCCAGATGGACAATGATACACAGTTATCTAGAGGTTGCTCGGCTATAATCTTAGAAGTCGCACAGTTGAGCATGCATGAAACTTGTCAACTAATCAACAAAAAAAGATGATCTTCCAAAGAGTGCAACTAAATGCAATTCAGGAGCCTGGCATTTGAATTTTGCAGCTGTCATACATATCCCATGTGTGGCCAGCTGGTGCTGGCAGAAGTGTCGTTACAGACAAAGGATTAGAGCACAGGGGACAGTGAGATTGGCAGTTACATGAAAGCAACATGATGAAGAAAGTGGTTTAATTCATTAGGTTTGCTGCAACCATGCTGTCCTTTGAAAATATTTAATAAAAGTGTCCACAAGTGACAGGTTTTTTTTAAAGACTAAATTTACTGCATAGGATTTTTAAACCTGACAAACTAAACAAAGACTGAAATGAATAATTATTCAGAGCAGCAGTGTTGAAAGTGTAGGACATGTACCAGTCGTAGTTCACAGCCGGGGCCTATTAAAGCGTAAAGTGAGGTACACTGAAATGTAGTAAAGTGATCCTGTGCCTGATATACTGATGATGAAGTAACGTATAGCGTACTAGGCACATGACTGAAAGTTTGAATCTGCATACAGGTGCACTTCACCCTTTAGTAAATCAGGCCCTTTGGGTCCATCTCAAGAACAAAAGTAGGGAGCAACAGGACACATTAGTAAAATTCCACTTTTAATAAGAGAAAAAATTCCTTATATCACAATTTTTGTAGCAGCTGGCATTGCCAATTCTTATCTACTACTGTTTTTGGAGTTACTGAAAAAGTCTACATGCAAGGTTGTCCCGACATTTTTTGCTGCCTATGGCAGGGGGTTTTGGGGTTACATGCTATAGGGGCATGTGGTTGTGCTGGTGAAGGCAAATTACAGAGGGGGGGTGGGGAGAGCACTGGCCATGCACAGTACCTCACTGATGTCAATGGTTGCCAGGAAACACAAGAGGAAGATAGAAGAATTCTCTCCAACGCAAGGGAAATCCTCTCTTAGTCAAGTGACCCCATTAGAAGACTTCCCCTCTATTTCTGCTAAAAACTTTGTCCACCGGTACTTTGGGGGATGGGGGCACTTCTTTAGTAAACCGCTGCTATAGCATACCCCTAAATGCCTATCAGCATGAGAGGTGGCTGTTGGTATTGGGATATCAGCCTACCCACCTAGTCTTCCAATTTTGTAACATTGAAGGGATTATGCCCTTGTATACAAAATATAAATATCCATTTAACTGGTCATTCTGTTTTTCCATACAGGATTTGCAATTTGGAGAGTAGATAACAGCCCCTTTTCTTCCAGCAAAACAGTTTGAAAGTGTATTTGCTTAGCTGGACGTTGCTCAAAATTTACTTAGTTTTTTGTTTTTTACTGTTTTATAAATAACTCTGAAACCATGATCAATGGAAGCTGGAATTGCCTGACTTCACTACTGGTCTATAAGTATGGTCATATGATTTAAGTAACTTGCTTAGATCAGTATTTCTTAACCTTTTTTCAGTCACAATGTCTTGCCCCTTCAAAATCCATATTAGACCTGTATCTGAGAAAGCTCCTCATTAAAGTGACATTAAACCCTCAGATTTAAGGAAGCAGGTCTGGAAGTGTGGGTAGATGAAAGAATAGGGGGAAGGGAGGAAGGTGGGGGGAGAAGACAAGGAGTGGGAAGGGGTCCCGTCCGACCCATAAGTAGGGAGAGATGGAAAGGAGGAAGGCACTGCATAGAACAGGGCAGATAGGAGAATTGTGTTACCGTCTTAAATCCTTACATGCCTCTGAATCTCGGAATAAATGCCACAACGTCCAGGTTTTAAGATACTTGGACATGTCATCTCTGCCAGAGTGGATACGTTCCTCAATGGCCGCTACTGTATCTATTCGGGAGAGCCACTCCCGAATCGTTGGTGGGGATGGCGACTTCCAGTGTCTAGGAATCACCGTTTTTGCCCCATTCAGTATGGAGAGGTGGGAGATATAGTTTAGGGAGTACAAGGCTTGCAAATTAGTCGGAATCTTAATGCCCAGATAGGTGATGGCTCTATCCGCCCAACTGAAAGGAAAGTGGGAGAGACAGAACTGGACCGTCTCGTCTGGTAGAGATATGTTGAGGGCCGAGGATTTGGAGAGATTGATTTTAAATGAGGACAGGGATGCAAATTCATGAAAGGCTCGGAGAAGATTAGGGAGTGAAATTCTCGGTTGGGTTAGGAAAAATAGCAGATCGTCTGCAAATGCAGCCACTTTGGACTCCTTGCCCGGTGTGGGAAAGCCATGAATGTTGGGATCTGATCTGATTCTGCGGAGAAAGGGTTCCAGTGCTAACACGAAAAGCAGAGGAGACAGCGGACATCCCTGTCTGGTGCCATTACAGATGGGGAAGGCATCCGACAGAGAGCCGTTTACTCGGACCCTAGCGATCGGGTTGTGATACAGTAGAGTTATACGATCTAGCATGCGTGAGCCGAGACCTAGGTGCTTTAGGGTGGCAAACAGATAGTCCCAGGCCACTCTGTCGAATGCCTTCTCCGCATCTGTGGACAGAAGGAAGCCAGCGTGTCCCCGGCTCCTAAGCCAATGGTGAAGGTCGATTGCCTTAGTGGTGTTGTCTCTGGCCTCTCTCCCAGGGATAAATCCAGCCTGATCACCATTGATCAGGTCGGGGAGAAGGGGCAAGAGACGGTTGGCGATAATTTTTGCATGTAATTTGACATCCACATTGAGCAACGAAATGGGGCGATAGTTAGCGCATAAAGAGGGATCTTTCCCCTCTTTTGGTATAACTGTGATGTGAGCTTCTAATAGATGGGAGGAGACGTGGGGACTTCTGGGGAATCGGTCAAATGCTGTCAAGAAGTGTGGGGTCAAGGTTTCTGAGAAAGTTTTATAATACAGAGATGTGAATCCGTCTGGTCCTGGGCTCTTTCCTGGCTTGAGTTGGGATATCGCGGTCAGTACCTCTTGTGGCGTTATCGGGGTCTCCATATTTGCTATCACCTCTTCTGGTAGGGGTGGTGGGCTATGTTGGG